ATGTCATCATCTTCCATTTCCGAATTTTACATCTTGGCCTAGAAATCTTTGATTTTTTTTCTGTTTCTACATTGTGGCTAACAGGTTGTTCCTCGCTTAGTTTCCTACGAAACTTTCTTCTGACTAGCTCAAATATGGCATTTTGGATTTTCAATGCACATTGGGACTCATAACTTTTAATTTTACTTTCATAAACTCTCACACGCTATTTCAGCACGCTTAGGGCGTTATAACTGTCAGGTTTGAGAGCAATTATGAGATTCATGCTCTTCATACACTCCTTGGCCTCCTTTAAGTCTTAACCTCCAAGTTTTTCACCTGCCAGTCCGTCATAGTCATAGCGCCCTTACTCACAGGAAAATTTTGTGGGAATTAAATTAGCTTATTTTCTTATCTATGTTTGCCTTCCACCTAGATGGCTTCTCTCGTCTTGTCATGACTTCATAACATTGATGTGCTATCCCGAAGCTACCTTGCAAAATCAGTCATTGAGTTTGGGGAGGATTATGTGTGACATATTCACTCGCCTCTTAGTTATAGGCGGGTAAACATTCTCGGAGATTATTCAGCTTTCACAGTGTCTGGTCTGTATCATGTCTTTGGTCTTCTTGTACCAATATAAGGTGCTTGTGCTTTATGTCTTTATGAACTTTAGTCTCATGTAGCGTGTTTTGCCCGAAGTATGTGTCTTGTGTCTAGACACCTCGTTGACTTTTCCAAGAACTGTTTCTGCGAGCGTTTTGCGAGGGTAGTTGCACACAAACTTCTCGCAATACAGGGAACGACACAAAGGTCATCCTTGTTTCATCATCCTGCCGAAACATTCAGGAAAACCTTCAGCTCTTTGCTTGGCCAGCTGCTCTGCGGAACTTTGAATTAGTACTCCTGCTAGTTCCTGGTCCCGGCACACTGGCAGAGTGCTTTCTCACATCTTTCACAGAGCTTTTCACAACTTCATCTGTTTTCCCATTGTTTTCTACCACGATTGCAGTTGTCTTCGTCCATTCATCCTCCATTTTCCTCTCGGACTTTTGATATCCTGAATATACGACTGACTGACTACACAGCATTCTTGTTTTCGGTTTCCATTTCGTTTTGCGACGGGCTTTTCTTCCGTTTTATTTATCACATGCGTGTCATTCTTATTTACTTCCTTCTCTTCTTTCGTCTTCGTTACTTCAGAAGTACTTCAACAAGGGTTTGCATGAGCATTGTCGTCATGATTTCTTATTTCTTTTCGCTTCTTGGAAATCGCCTCTGATGTAGAAGGTCCTTAGAGACTTGTTCCCAGCCATTAGATTATTGATCTATTTGAATGCTGGAATGTTCTCTCGTATCATTACCATTTCCACCGTTCTCGTCGTTAGCTGCCGATACCATTACGTTTGTTGTCGCAGTTGCTCGCACTGGTATTTCCGCCATTCACTTCCATCGTCGTTCATAACATTGCCATAACAGACAAAAGTAGAGTCGAAAAAAGGATATAAATATTGTTTTCTACTATGAAAAGAATAAAAACCAGAAATTATGAGAAAATGTAACCCCCACTAATTATTGCATTGTTCATTTTTTCTTTAATACTTTACTATATATATATATAATGTTAGATATGAGGGAAAGAGTTGCATGTAAATTCATACTCTGTATTATGTTAATTAACTGATATATGTTACTTACGAGACGTCATATTTAGAGCCTGGCAGGCTTTTTGTGCAGTTAACTAACGATGCTCAAAAAATTGTGCACGTGAATGAAAGACTTCAAGAGCTTGCCAAAATAAGACACGGTTTTCTGTGTAACCCAGAATGTGGGACAATCATCGGTGCTTTGTAAGTCATGTTTCAGCACCAAATTGTTATTAGTAATTACATATTTCTTGAGAAAGTAATTTTTCTTACATGAACTTATTTAATAATCCTGGTAATTTGTATTGGTAATATTACTTTAATGAAATACTTTCAAGATACCCCGTTGACGGTCGTTTCTACCGAGCCTGTGTTTTATCGAAAGTCGGAATTGACTCAATTTCTGTAAGTTCTCTTTGTGATTCGCGCGGTACTTTTTCCTTTGACTACCAGTTTTCTGGTCTCTAATAACTTTCCCTTAATTTTTCTCCCTTTACAGCTAGTGCTCACTAAATTTAAACCTTTATTTTTTGTTCTCCACTATTAAAGATGTACTTTTTTTTGTCATTTCATCGTTGCACTATTTTCTTACAATTCATCTCTTTTATCAGGTTTTATATTTTGATTACGGAAATACGGGGTCTGTTGATGTTAATGATGCCTTCTTGCTGCAAGATTCTGTATTGTTGTCAGTCCCGCCTATGGCTATACAATTAGATATCGAAGGCATAACTGATGATGCAAGATTAAATACTAATCAGATCACGAGTCTATTGATGAACCAAAATCTGGGTGCACAGATACGTATGTTTTTTCATTCTGATTGATAGGATTTTGATTAATTGAAGGAAATTCGTTCGTGCTTGAATTTTTGTCATCTAAAAGTGTTTTACTCGATTTTTTTGGTTATGTATATTTTGCATAGAATTTGCCTCAAATGACTGAATTAATGATTCAGTGATCCTATATTTCATCTACTAATAAGTACCTGCAAATGTTCTAGTCGGTGTCAGTTCAAATGAGGAGTCTTTCACAGCAAATTTGCTACTGAAAGATTGCCAAAACAGGAGTGTAGATGTGAAAGAAGTAGTACTTGGTGAAAGACCAGTGCCGGTGCTGCCAGATCTCAAATGTCTGTTATTTATTATTCTTTTAAATTCAGTGTTAATAATATGCAAATCAGGCTGAAGATCTGAAATATCTAATTATTTTGTTCATCTTAGTTTTTCCAACTACAGCCATTAATACATTTAAATTGCATCAGTGCTTATATCTAGGCGTATTTATTTTTCTTCAACACTAAAGCTTTAGTTAGCCCTTATAAAACGGTTAGCTATTATTGACATCTAGTTTTTTACTAATATTGAAAATGGTTAATCCTTTGATATTTTCTATGCTCTCTTTTTAATCTATTGTTTCTAGCAGTGACATTGGCTCCAGAAGATAATCGTAGGTTCAAGAAAAGCGATTCAGGAAATAATTGGCCATGTGAACTTTAGTTTTTTATTTTCATTTCGGATTTATTTTTGGCATTAATTTAAACCTTTTTTTTTCACGACTGTTTCTCATTTTATTTGTTTAAGTAATTGTAAAGTTGCGTTGTATATTAGGAAGGCGAAGTATTTACTATCGCGAAATACATATCGTTAAGGCCAAGACTTTCAGTTATGCAGTTACAAAGAAAGAATGGATGAATTTTGAATAAAGAATCGTCTCTAGATATTATGACTGTCTACTTTTGCTTTTATTTTTTTGAGCTTTGAAGGACCAAGTGGTGTCTTCACAAGTATTACTATATTTTTTTACATATATTACAACTTTCCATGTTCCCATATGTTCCCTTACAGCTACTACTAGCCTTATACTGATTTTGGGGGGTTTTATGGAATTAGTTACTGTCATCATGAGACTTTAAGAATTTATTGTTAATTTTTTCGCATTTTGCTGAGTTTCAACTTTGTGTTGGTAACCTTGTTAAAAGTTTAAAAAGTGAATTGAGTTTTGTTTAGATGAACCAGTCATGGATGAAGGGAATTTCCGATTTTCTGAACATAGATGCGGAAGGTTCCGAAGTTATCGCGACAGACAAGCACCTAGCTGGTGTAATAGGTCCACTAATTTTCATAGTGAATTTAATAGCGGGATCAAAGGTTGTGGATGTAATAGATATGGACACGATGATCATAGAGGGTTTGAAGATGTTGCACAAGATATAGCTATGCCTTACGGCCGTAATCGAGCCAGTGTTAGAGGATCTCGTCAACTTATCGGTGGATACCAAAGATTCATTGCTTCTGATGTCATAGTGGGAGACGAAAGTAGTCAGCGATATAAAAAAAGTATTGACGAACAAAGTATGTATTGTTTAATTTCGTATTACATTTGACTAATTTTAAAATATAGATTTTTTTAAACTGCTTAATGATTGGTATTTCAGTATGTTATAAGTGTGGGAAATCTGGGCATATTTGGAGGGCATGTGTGGAACCTTACAAAAATGATTCGAGGAAAGATATGCTGCTCAGTACTGAAGGCAATGACGCTAGAATTTTCTCTTCCATCAGTACCGGAAGTAAGCAATGCGGATTAGGTGAGTTTAAAACTTTATCATGATGAAACACTCGCAAGCGATAGTTTTAAGTTGTTGATTTTGATAAATAAATGAATAGAACTTCGGTTTATTGTGAAAACTTATAGGTGTTTATGGCTGCTCAACTTCAACTGATAAGGGTGGTTTTCAACATGATGGCTTATTTGCCCATCGAGGAAATTTGGTTTGTTTTTGTATCAAGCGGCATTTAAATATGAAATTTGTTTTCAATGTTTTTTGAAAATCTTATTTTTAGGGTCTTCCTAGTGATGAAAGAGATGAGGATTGCAAGTTAAAAGAACGTGCCAGTACAGTTTATACACTTTCGGAAGGAGAAGATTCAAGCAGTTCTTCAAGTTCTTGTAAAAGAAAAGTGAAGGATGAAGATGAAGAAAGTGAACGCACAGGAGAAATAAATATTTTTAACCGTCTAATTTCTGATGATGAGGATGAATTCGATACTTTGAGTAACTTATTGCAAAGTTTAATTCCTGATTCGCCGGTACATGAAACTAGCGATGCTAGAATAGATGAAATCAATGACTCGGTAATAAATTGTGCATTATACAGTTTGCAAAAGAGAAGAGGAACATTCTTTTGAATGAAATTTGGGAGTAGCATGAGGTTTTTCTGTTTATATTAGAATATAGAAATCAGACCAGGCAACTTTGTAATTAAAAAGACGAATTATGCCTCCAAAAAGCAATAGGAAATGGTAGTGCACGCCAAATAGCAAAAAAAGGTTTAAAAATCATGTAGGTACTCACCGTCATCTAGCTTTCAACATGCTTCTAATTATGTTACTATGTTCTTTTTACAAGTTTATGAATGTAATAAACTGATAATTTTAGTGTTAGGTTTTGTCTTCTTTGTCTCTATAAAATCTTACTGTGCTTGATATAGATTCGTTAATATTGACTATATGTTTCTTACTGTAGAAAATATTTTTTAAAGGTTTTGATCGGATCTGTCGAGCCATTCACAACTATCCTCAAACGTATTGAGCCGGCGAGTCTTGGAAATATTGAATTCGGTGATATGGTAGATGGCGTGCGTTCAGATCTATCGGTGGAATTTTAGACTCTTTGAATATTTGTTACAGTTATAATGTGTCATGAATTCATGCTGTTTTCATTTGTTATTCAGTTAAATTGCTGAATAATATGTGGTCTATAATCCAGTATAGATAGATATTTTACTATACCACTGAAACCTATTCAATCAGTCTAAAATTCACTTGGCTTACTATTACTCAAATTATATTTGCTATTAATGTCACCGTCATGTCTATATCTTAAGGAGATTAGCGATCCTTTGTCGTTCTTTGTGCAGCTTGATCGAGATAAACGCGTTATCAATCAACTAATACTGTCGAACAAGTGGCCTTGCCCTTCAAAGTTGCTTTCATTTGAAACATTCAGTGCTTGTCTAGCTGTTTCCCAAGGATATTATCACCGCGCGGAAATTGTCGGTACAGAAGGTGATAATCAGTAAGTGCTGAGCATTGACGTATTGAGATATTGTGTACCAAATTTTTACTTTTTTTTATTGTTTAGATGCCTCTCTATTTATGAAATCTTTTCATTTTAAACTCGTGATTTTTGTTCCAACTCATTGTTGATTTTGAGGCCTATTTTATAAAACAATATTACCTTCTCACTAGCCTAGTTTTTTATTTTTTAGTATTTCAGTCTGTTAAGAATAAGTCCTACCTTCATGATAGTTTTTTAAGGACGAAAATTATGTTTGTTGATACTGGTAGTGTGAAGATTGTTAATGCTTCTGAACTTTATATTATTGACAATTCATTGCCAAAGCTATTCTACACGTCGCGACGTATGGCTTTTCATTGTCGTTTGCACAATGTTATGCCAATTGGTTTCGAGGTAAACTTTTCCATTTAGTGAAGATGAATTTCGCTTGTAAAACCTACTTTGATAAATTTCAAAGTCACGAAAGGTCTTGTAATCATACTGATTTTAATGCATCACATTATGTTGCTAATATCAAAAGTAAGATAGTAATCTTGGATGTATAATGGCTATTACCGTTTAAAGAAATTTGTTTTCGTCTTTTTCCGTTTGAAAGAGGGTATAAAAATATGGTATCGGATTACACACACCGTTATACGGGACATTAAGTGGTATCAATTTAATTTGAAAGATGATCCAATGGCTCTCTTTCTTTATCAGCAATTTTTATGTTGCAGTAGCCTAGGTTTTTTCAGCATGAATTTTCTTCTAAGGCACGAAAAGTGTTCTCAGAACTAACTGCTTATGAAAAGCTGTCAATATGTTTTTTGCAACAGTCAGTGAAAGGTGTTTATGAAGTATCAGTATACCTCAGTGACAAGCGTTCTTTATCTGATCTTCTAGTTTCCAGGTTCAAATTCAATTTTTAATTGCTTATAAATGTTGTGAATTTGCTTGTAAAAGTTTGTATTCAGCAATATAAAATAGTTTTAAGGGGTTTCGCTCTTCCATTCAAATGGGGTATCGGACCGCATATACCGTTATACGAGACATTAAATGTTTTTCGTTGTGATGAACTTGATTATGTTTCGCGTGATTTCACTGTTCAGCTATCTACAAATCATACTCTTCTCGATCAAGTGAGTTAAGATTATGATCAGAATGTTCAAAAAAAGTTATGAACTGAATTATTCTTAAAGTCTTGATTGCTTCTTAATTCTTCATCCCGTCCACTTCTGTTGTTATGTTTTATTTCTACTAAATTTATATTGTAGTTAGCAAAGTGACGTTTATTTATAGTTGTGGAATATTCCCCTGAAATCAAGTTTCATGAAGGATTTGGATGCTTAATGATTTTTATTTCAGGTAAACAGTGGGTATGTAAATGCCAAGACAACCTTGAATGTACCGCAGATTGGTGATGCTGTTATCTCATACTTTGAACGCGTACCTCATAGAGCAGAAATCATTGCTATTGAAACAAATGGCGATGAAATATTGTACCGTGTGAATTATGTTGATTACGGAAATGAAAGTGTTTGCACAAAAGATCAGTTATTTGCTTTGGACAGAGATCTGCAACCAAAAGTAAATTTATGTCACTATTTTTGAAATATCGTAATATTCTTTTTTCTAACTTTTTTTTAAAATGATGGTATTAGTAATTCAGAACTTTCAAACTCATAAGGATTAAAACTAAGTTTTACTAGTGTAGTATGTTATTTTGCAATTAATCCATTTTAAAGTGTCCTCAATGTTTCATTTATTAAAAATCTTTTCAAGGAGGTACTCTGTATTCCTCGTCAAGGTATTCGTTGTTATATTAGTGGAGTCTGGCCTCCCAATAATGAAAAATGGGATGTGGAAACTCAAAAGTGCATCAGTAGTATTTTGGATGTATCGTTTTCATTTGAGGCTATAATTGGTTGTCCTAATGAGAATGGAGTTTTTCCAATCAAGGTTTGTTGTCATTCTATTCATTGTTAAAGAGTCGTGAGATATTTTTATGTGTGATCAGTAATACATAAGCTTGATGTGTTAATCAGTCATGAAACATTTTGTTGTAACGATATTGATTACATGTATATGGTTACGTAAGCTATTCAAGTGAAATAAAATACTTCAGATCACTCTGCCAAAAAGCCGCCTAGACGTTTCATACAGCACTGAAAATGAAATAAATTGCGAAAAAGTTGATTTCGGAACTTGGTTAATTGCTAATGGTCATGGAGAAATGAGGAACTTTTGTGACATCTACCCAACGAAAAATTTGCTGTGCGAGGGAAAGCATGAGCAGAAAATGGTCATCACGGAAATCAATGGACAAATCATTCGTGCAAGACCTTGTGCTTTTTCAGATCTGTATGATACAATGAATGAGGTATGACTACCAAGTGTACGTAAAATGGGTCACCCCAATTCTTATTTCTTTTTCAATTTGGGCTTGAATTTAGCTTTTCAGATGTTTTTGACTTAAACATTTTTCTGTTGCTGTGCATTACGACAGAATTCAGTTTGACTCTATCAATTTTTACATAAGCATATGTTCAATTTGAAATTAATGCTTTCAAATTTTCTGGTTCTTGAGAATTTGTGCTGATTCAAATACTAGGCTCTTAAAAGTATCGAAATTATTGCTTTGGAGTCTTCTGCAACCGTTGGTTTGATTAATTACAATGGCACCAAAAAGCGTGCTGCACTGATTGCCTCATCAGATTGTGATGGTGCGGTGTCGAAAAAATGTTTATTGGTCGATGAAGGAATAAATGTGAAGGAATTACCTGCTGTTCTTTATGGTGTTGGTAAATTAGGTTAGTTACGCAGTTATGCTTGACAAAACATTTTTGGTAAAAAATTCAAACTATGTAGTTTAGTAGCAGAAAAATACAGTTCGGGTTTGTTATTATCAAGTAAAGGCTTGGAAGTAGTTTATTCGGTGTTGTAATATGAAGTAGTTTTCAGTACTAAGCTTTGTTTTTTAATTATATGATGTAGTTATTTACTGTTCCAGTTCGTTCTTAATTTACAACATGTAATTTTCAGGAAGAATTTTCTGGATTTCAGATGTGGTTGCATGGATTCTTCATGTATGGTTAACCACAACAATAAAATTTGCATCTTAAACATGGTGTTTGAACTTTCAGTGAAATCCGAAAAATTCTTTCTGAAAATTACATGTTGTAAATGAATTTTAAATGTCTAGAAAACTCCTTTTGCAGATGATAACAATGGATTTTTTGTGCAAACATGTCATCAGCTATCGGTAGAGCTGAAATTTAGATATTTTCTTCAAGGTGATGTTATTGAAAAATTATTGGCAGAAATTATGACCAGTGCTCCAGTTAAAGTTATTCTTTATCAGCACCAAAAGGCATGTTATTCATCTTTGAAAGTTAACATGATACAAATGATGCACTTTTATAATTTTTTTATTTAGTTTTGTACGTTACACAAGTTTGATTTCTACATTTATTCCCTTACTTTCAGGACAACTGTTATCTGATAGAAGACATCATTTTTTCGGACTATACATCTTTGACTCAGACATGGAAAGAAATAAAATCTGCAAAAAGATGTTTTTAGGAGACAGGACGGTATTTTAATGTTGTTTTGCAGGAAATGTAAACTGGAAGCACTAAGTAAATATTTGTGGAACTATTGTATAGAATGCTTTTGATTTGTTTAATTGTTTTGTGTTTATTTGTTCAATACTCATATTTTAAATTTATATATTGATGTATACTTTAACTGTTCTTTTGTGCATGGAAAGAAAACTATGTATTTCTTATTTTTGAAATAAATTCTTTGTTTTTGCCCTTGAACTTGACAGCTACAAATAAGGAATAGGAAGAAGTCATCGTGTTCGAAAAGTTAAAAATGCAAAAAAATTATCATTTTGTTCTCAACACAGAGCCTTGCAGACGACTGATGGAGGTTAACTTAGATGTTATCAGATAGTTCTATTGAAATGTGTCATTTCACAGCCAGGAAAGGTTATCTTTCAAGTTCCCTGAACGACTGCACTGCCATGGAAACAGCTTGAATCTTACTAAAACACGTAATTACATGGGGTTGAAGGATTCATTGCACTCGGGCTCCCCATCTGTAGTTTCATTTAAATAAGATCAAGGAGAAGTGCTTGGATTTATAGTTTTGGTTGACAAGTGCATATGCTCTCCATTTGTAGTAACGTGAATAATTGGAAGAAAGTAAAAATTTTGGAAACAACGTTGTAATTGGAACTATGCAAGGTGAAGTGTAAATGCAGTCATACGGTCTGGTGTGATTTGACCTCATTTTTTTCAATGCCTTTGTCATATTGTCATCGTCGAGCAGATACTTGTATTTATGGAATTGCTTCCCTTTCCACTGTCAAATTATGACTAATTTGCAGTTCAGAACCAGTTAACTCACGATTCTTAGTTTTAAAAATTCGATTCTAGTCAAGTTTAGCGCAGGAGTAAGGCAGGTGATTAGATCGTGGTTGGAAACTTTATTGTCCGAGATTTCTTTTGAATAGTGGTTCAGCTTTTTGTTTTATTCAAAATACGTTCTTCAATCTTGAAGCTAGTCGTTCTGTAAACTGTAGAGTGAACGTGGCATTCTTTTATAATTTACTCTAATATTTCCTTCAGGTTTTTTAAGACTCCCTTTCATATTATTGTGTTAAAGTAGCGTTAGCAACCTGTTCAGTACAGCGTATTAATGAGCATAATATTCCGTTTTCTTTTGCATATTACGATTAATATATTGGTATGATTACTAATATGAATGCTTTTGAAATGACCGGTACATACTGATTTTTATAGAAATGTTAGTTTTTTTGTTGCTTGCCCCCCACAAAACTTCACTGTGT